CTGTCTTTGGGGCGAGGGGGCAGCGGGGCCGGTTCCCGGGCTGCGGCTTCGGTTCTGCCCAGCCCTGCCAGGTGTCTGGGTCTCGGCGGGAGGTGGCGGTCGGAACCGGGGCCTTGCATCAGGTGCCAGCCGTAGGCCACCTGGGTTGGTGGCCTGTGGCCTGCGGACCTTGGCGATAAGATCCCCCTGGCTCTGCACACCAAGTGTGCCGAGCTCTTTGCCTTTCCGCCAGGAAGGGTTTTACTGCCAGTAATTTTTCTTTGTACCGTGTTACAGTGAAACGGTGAGAATGCAAGAGACGCTTAAGTGCTCGTAGTTGAGTTAGTGCTTTACAACTGGCCGTGCTTAGTATATTAAAATGAATTTTAAGAAATGCGCTGTCTTTCCTACTGTCGTTTAACTTGCGGCGCTTGACGCCTGCGGTAGCTTCCGAAGTAGACCAAGGTCAGTGGTAATCTTTCAGCTGCTCTTCTGCTCATTTGCTTGTAAAATAATATCTGGTTTTGACTGGAGCTTGTACTTGGATTAGAAATAAAGATCATTAAATGCGGAAGGTACATTACTTTGGAAACTGTGATGTTTCCATGGAGATGGGGATATAAGAAATCTTAAAAGATTTTAGAGCTGTAGGCTGATGCTCCTCCAAAAGACTGATTCTTCAGCAGATGGTGCAATAACGTGAGGTCATTTTCCACTTCTGCTGTTACTTTAAAGCAGGTCAAAGTTCTCTTGCTAGAGGTTGATAATGTAGAAGATCCTGGGACAGGGCTCTCGAAAGAAGCGGTATTCCCAGCTGTTCAGCGGAAAGGGGACTATACCATTGGCAGACCTTACTTGCAAGGTCTTCATTTTTAAGTAATATAACTGCATTTCATGTGGTGTGTAGGAATTATGTAAACTGCTAATTAGGCTGTGCGTGTCTTATAGCTGTGACTAGGAACTGGTGATCTGTTCCGGTCCGTTTCTGACCTACCTTAATAACCCCAGAGTCTGCTGATAACACAGTAGAACAAAATTGGCTCTGCTTACCTGGGTCCATCTTGCCCCAAACGCGTAATCAGACTCCCATTTTAAAACCTTAAAGTGGTGCTCTCCGAAGACTAGTATTGTACTATTTTTGTGTGCTAAGATTGCTGTGGTTTTGAAGCTGACCTTTTTACTGTCATAAAAACATTATTAAGAAGACAAGAAAGGCTGTAAATGTAGTTGTGAATGTGAAAAAGTCAAATGTACCAATATTAATCTTAGTCATAAATCCACTGCAAGCTGTTCCAAGTGTTCTTTACTGTTTGGCTCATGAAATAGGTGATGGAAAACTAAATCTAAAGTTTCATGTGGATTCAAGCTATCATAAAAGCTTACTGTTAGTAGAAGGGAGAGGTCTTGCCCTTGTATTTTCCTGGTTTTGACTGCGCGATCCTGTTCCCTACTTTGTGTTGTCCCTTGACTTCCTGCTGGATTTTTACTGAGATGATGTGGTTTTCTTTCACTTGAATGACTTTTTTTGCTGGGGCGTTTCTTTGCTGCTGTACTGAGTTAAAGTCAGCTCACGAGTGCGTTCTAGCTGGGGAGGAGGGAGTGGAATCCTTTCCCCTGTTGGCAGTGGTGCACACAGATCGATTTCCCATGGGACTTCCCCCTTAGTTTTCTTTGTATTACCTTAGTTACAGTCTTCTCTTCTGCTTCCAGTGTAAAGAAGGTAACAACTTATATTTTTCTCTTCTTACAGGAAGAGGATGATTGGAAGGAGTTTGAGCAAAAAGAAGAAATTGATTATAGTGGTCTTAGAGTTCAGTCCATGCAAATAAGGTACTAATTTTTTTTTCTTTTGCTCTCCAGTATAATCATTACCCATGTCTAAAAAGTATGTTCTTTCTTCAGAGCTGCCTCCATGGAGTCCAATTAAACAGGGGTTTGATATATTTCTGCCAATATTGAAGTTTGCTTTAGGGTAACTTAGGTTTGGCTGTTCTCTGCTGATGTTCTCTTTATTGTCTAAATCTCTGTTGGTACTCTAGGTCTATCTGTTCTGGTTGGGACTCAAATTTTTATTGCAAATGCTTAACAGAAAGATAGTAAAGTAGGAACTTCTCTGAGGGAGGAGTGCAGGGTGGTAGTTACCCTTACAGCAGTCAAATGATTCAGTGGGATCTGACTCAATCTATTCAGCATCTCAGTTTGGGGAGTGAATTCCTGAACCATTGCATTTTTATTTCAAAAAAAACCAAAAATGCGGTTGGTAAAAGTAGCGTCCCTATGAAAGATCCCACAGGACTGCATTTATGAGTCTCATCCAAGATTCTTTGTTTGCTTTTTCATTAGATGATTCCTGTAGTCTGGTCCAAAGTGAGTCTACTTAAGCCTGTCCTGGTTAAGAAAAACGTTCCATCAGATCAGAAGAAGGATTTTTATGACCTCAGTCTTAGACTGAGAATGTCACATAATCCTCATTGTCCAGGTGTTGATGATGTTCAGAATAATGCCATCTTAAAATCATCTTCCCTGTAGGCAGCGCAATAGATGTTTTCTTCATTGTTTGAGCAGGTCTTACATATTCTTTGATTTATTTATCTAACACACACACCCCCCCCACCACCGCTTTCAGTTAACTAGTCCTTTTAGGCAGTTTGCGCATATTTGGTCCACAAGCTCTCCATACCATTGAAGTGTCACAGCGGATAATCACGTGTCCGAATGGACAAGGAACAGTGGGCTGCTGCTTCACTGACTACCAGTGCTGTTGGATTGGGAAGGGCGTACGTTGGCTTTCCAGACAAAGGCCGGCGTTCTGAATGCTTTTGATGCTGTGGCAGATTTTCAGGCATGTGGAAGTTTCTGCCACAGGATTTTGTAACCACCCGGCCAGTGGATTCAAGGCGAGAGTGGAGAAGCAAACGGAAGAAGAACCCACTGGAGGTTATAAATTATCCAGCTCTGGAGATCTCTTTGCTGAAAATAAGACACAGACTACCTGGTTGGGGTGGGATGTTACGTGTACTTACTCTGTTCTAGCTAGTCTGTAGGCATCTGCTTTTGACCGTCGTTTCAAATAAGATAGTGATGTGTTTACGCCCTCGGTCCGGCTTACCATGGTTGTTACTGTATTTGAATGAACAGTGAAAGGCCGTTTAATTTTCAGAAATGGTAGGTATTTTTGACCGTTCTCTGATAATATACAGAAAGCTTATCCGATCATGATTAGTAGGATTTGGTGTATTATAAACTACTTCTGTATTCACACTTTGCTGCTGCTCTTCAGATCAATGTCTTGGGCTAACAGCCTCACACTCTATGGATGTCCTACGTACCACACAGCTTTCTGTAGTAGCTTTGTCTAGTAAATTTATTTTGAGTCTCTGAATATTTCTATGCAAAATAAAACAGTCTAAATAAAATACAGTCAGGCTTTTGCATAGGATTTATTTTTTTTAAAAAACGACATCTTTTTCTCTCTGTATTTTTTGATTGCCTCTTTAAAAAAAAAAAATCTGAGTCAGTTTCTAGATTATATTAGTATGGGTAATACAAGAGTGTTTCTCAGGTGTCTGTGGTTATAGGGACAGGGAGCTCAGGACTTGCTTTCTGTCACTACTTTTCCACAACTACTTCCTGCCTAAAGCATTTTATGGAAGCTGGACTTGTAGCCCTCTCCTGCTTTATCTTCTCATCACTTCCAAATGCCTGACTGTCTTAAGCTCAAAATGAGAAATCAGTTTATTTGATCACTTAGTACAGTTTGAATTTGTCTTTTTTTTTTTTAAGAACTTTTTTGCTTCTCAGTTGCCGAGTTACATAGCAGTGTGCCAAAAATTGTTCAGATGGAAGTACTGATACAGTGGTTACTGGACTAACGTAGTCTGGTTAAATCTGGTATCTTCAGTAGCCGTGAAGTCTTGTCTATGGCGATTGTGTAATCTCTGGCAAGTCTTAAACCTCTGTTTGTAAAAAATAGAATCATAGAATCATTATGGTTGGAAGAGGCCTCAAAGATTATCAAGTCCAACCGTATACCCGATGCCACCACGCCTGCTAAACCATGTCTTCAAGCGCCACATCTAAATGTTTTTTGCTACTTACCATTTCTCTTTTATAGTGAAAAAGATGATGATGAAAGTGAAAAAAGAGAAGAACCTGGTGACAACTGGGAGGAGACTGGTGGTGGTGTAGACAGATCATCTGGGCCTTGGAACAAGTCAGCTCCTGCACCAGCACCTGTTGTTGAACCAATTGGTAAATTTAACTCGGAGTTGTTGCTTTTTTTCAGTCAGAAGCATATCAGGTTGAATTAAGCTGCGCAGAGGGTAGAGCTCAAGGAGCAGCTCCTATTCAGGCACCTTCTAACGTACCGGTGGCTTGTTTGACATACTAGCAAATGAGGAAATTTTCCTGGGAAGGGATCTGAGGAAATGAATTGATAGTACTGTCAGATACTTTAGATAAATGCAAATGGAGGGGGTTTTATTTCTAACTTGGAAAGGCTGGGGAGTGGGAGCATTCCATCTTTGAAGGAGATCCCTCTACTTTGCCATCTACAGAATATCTGTTGGAAGCGCTTCTGCTGATCTAAAAATACTGCTTTGACAATTAAGGGGGTGTTCAGCCAGTATCTGATGTCTGGTATGGCAGTTCTTGAGTATGGTTCCGTGGTTAGTAGTACGCTTTTCAAATCACTTCTAGGGTACAGAGAACATGACATTGCAAAATTAATTCTTTAACTGGGATAGGACTTTAGTTTTGATTAAATACAATTTATTAGCATCAGCGGATATAAACTACTTGGCCGTGATCTGAGTTCAGACTATTCTCTTCCATTGAGAAATGTATTGAAAAAGTGGCCTGCTGTGTGTTTTCTTGCTTGGACAGGCAAGGAGGTAGAATTAATCGGTGTTATTTCATTGTAGATCGTTATCTTAAATACAAACTATTTGGGTATTCTCTTATGCATCTGGAGAGGTGCTTTAAATAAGATTTGGCAAATATGTGTCTTTAAATATCTAGTTTTAAATGTAAGCTGTTAATAAATTGCAAATAAGAAATATGAAGTACTCCTCAGTGATTTTGATTCCCTAAACTTTGTGAGACAATACACTGGAGCCACATTTTAATTTGACTACTACGTAGAGGTGACATCTGATTTCCTGCCTTGTCTAAAATATTTAAAATATTTGCTTCCAGAGCTTTAAGAGGTACAAAAATGTACTTGTAAGATCATTTTCTTTTTTCATTTGTGGTGGTTTTTTGTTGTTTGTTTGGTTTTTTCCCAGGTATGAATGCAAACTTATTCTCTTGTCTAAATCTTGTTACAACTAGTTACAGAAACCCCAGAACCGGTTCAGACTGGTGGTGTATACAGGCCGCCTGGTGCCAGGGAGGGCGGCAGGCCACGGAGAGCGCAGCAAGGACCACCAGAAATCTATAGCGATACGCAGTTTCCATCACTGCAGTCCACCGCCAAGCTTGTAGACAGTCGGAAGTAAGTACATTCCATTAATTCCCTAAGAGACATATTTTAACTGCCTTCTCGAAGTTCTTATTTTGTTTTGGGGCTTAAGCCTGAATCTTTCCACAGAGGAAAGAAATAACTGAGAAATAATTCTCTTTGGCAAAGAGAGATGGGAGAGATCTTAACTGTATTTTCCAACTGTAGGAAGGGCTTCCCATGAAATAACTTTGATAGGTCATAGCCCAGTGAGACAGCCAAACAGGACTGCCAGTTACCTTATCTGTGACCTGCCGAAGGATTTCCCTGAAGCAGAATGTTTTGGCTCTTGACAGCAGCTGGTTCCCTGAGATATTAGCCGTGGTGAGGCTCTGGGCTATTACCGTCAGTACACATGAGTAGGATGTCTTGAGGACACTGCCTTCTCATTAGAGATACTGAGCTAACTTAAATGGAGGAGTGGGTTTTAATACAAATATAAACCAGTAAACTTGCTGTCTGAGCTGCGGTTTACAATGGTAAGCCCCCCCCAATTTTGCCAAAGTGTTTTGTATTTTGTGGTGCTGAAGACTTGAGTCTCACCTTGCTTTTGAGTCCTGATTTTTCCATAACCTCATTCACTACAGAAGAGATAGCTAGGCCAATGCCTAATTCACTTGGGTTTTGGGGGTTTGTTTTGGGGTGTGGGGTTTTTTATTTCCTGCTTGCTGTGTTACTGGCTCATACAGCCTAGCAGAAGCTTTGATTCTTCTGTTTTTCTTGGTGTGGCTTTGTCCGCTTGGCAAAAGAGACATGCTGTCATTGATGCTTTAGGGTTTGAATGGTGCAGAGTGAGCTAAGATTAAATTCTGAGTGAGCATTCTAGAAATGGACTTCTGCTTTCTAAAACCTGTTTTTCATAAATGCACTTTAAATTTACTTTTGGGAATGTTAAAACTGAAATTTAGAATGTAATCTGAATTGTACTGGGTGATGAGCTTGATTCTGGAGATAAGGTTTTGCAAGATTGGCTTGGGAATGTTTGGCTGTTGTGTTAAAACTCTAGATCTTAGCGTTCTGTGTTCGTAATGTTTTTGTTGGGGTGGGGTGGAAATCAAATAGAAATTCACAATTCACAAGCTAGTGATAAGATATTTACTGATCACATTTATTTTCCCTTAGGGATAAAGAAATGGAGAAGAGCTTTGAAGTAGTAAAACACAAAACTAGAGGTAGGGATGAGGTCTCAAAAAACCAGGCACTTAAACTTCAGCTAGACAACCAGTATGCTGTGCTTGGGGATCAGTAGAGCTGCATACACATTACAATTAAGGAATGCTTTTTTGGTAACCCTTCTACTAAGGTAACTAAACTACAGCTAACGGCTATGATGAACATGCCACCTTATTTCTGCTGGATCTGCTGCAGCAAGTGCAGACTACTTTGACGTAAGTGATTGGTTCTCCTGCACTATGGAAGCATAATATGTTTCAACTTCTCCATTGGATATGGGGCAAATTAATGTAAATGGTTGAACGAGAGTCATCAGTGTTCTTTAATTGCTCAGAAAGATACCTACAGCCAGTGGTCATTTCAAAATCTTTTTATGTTCAGATACTGAGCCTTCGTAAAGGTTGACTACCTCAGACTTGCTGCACTCATTGTGGACACCATGTGGATCACAACTTCTGGAAGAGAAGGTTACAGCTGTTTTAGTGGCCATCTGAAACTTGAAACCAGCTCTACTGGATTCCTCTCAGAAATCCTGCAGAAGTCAGCCATTTGGTTCCAATTTGCTATAACAAAGATTTAAGTGACCTTAATGACAAACCTGTTCTGTTCCCCTTCTGAGGAATCCTGTCATGTGTAGCCATAGCCTACTAGAGACTTCCGGAGCGTACCGTACCACTCGTACTACCCAAGTATAACGGAGCTGTAGTTTGTTTACCTTTTTAGATAGCTGTACTGAAGTAACTGCAAAACAAATTAAAACTCAATCGGTGTCGGATTCGAGGAGTGATGGGTTTGAATGGTCTGTTTGCCATTTTCACAGTTACCTGTTTAAGCTTTTTTTTTTTTCTATTTTCCCCCCAAAAATGCCTGCCTTGTTTCTGGTATCAAATTGCAGTATATTTAAATAATGATGCGATGTTGTGGTGAAATAGGATTTATTTTGGTTTTGGTCATGAGGTTTGTCTTTCCCATCCTAAAGCAGGAAGACTTAAAAGAGTTTTGATTTGACACAGAGGTATCCAGACTCCAACTACTGTCTTCAGAATTTGTCTTTTAAAAATGAGATACAATGCAGTAACAATACTAGATAAAAATTTCTCCTCTATTAAAAATAGTTATCTGTTTGTCGAAGGGTAATGGTTACTTGATAACCAAAATAACTTAGTATGCAGAGAGATAACTAAAGCTGGCAAGTCTTATTTGTTTGGCTACTTCTGTCAAGCATGCAGGCTTTTTGAGGCAGAAATCCTCTAAGTAAAATACATAAATGGTGTTTATTCAAAGTCAGGAAGTCTAGTAATAATGGAAGGCAGTGACTTCTTTAAGTTGTTGTCATCTCTGACTTAATTTAGTGGAAGTAGGCAAAATGGCACTGATACGCTAAGAATATTGGGCATTGCCCATAACTCTTGATTCGATGAACGAAACCTGTCAAGTACCAAGTGTCCTGCTGTAACTGTTTTTCTCTTCTCTGAATTCTTAGACCAGAAGCAAAATGAAGTACAATAGTGGCGTGCTCCAGTGTTGAGGTTTCTCAGAGTAAATGCCAAAACGTAGACCCAACATCTGTAAGAGTTGCCAATGGCAAGAAAAACAAGGGAACAAACCAAAACTTGCTTATGTGTGTGTGGGAGCACTGTGCCTGTGCAGGAGATGAGGGTAGTGCAGGAACTGCCTCGTGGAGTTCCCTTTGACTAACTGCTGACTCGCTTTACACCTGCTTCTCTGAGGCCAACGGGAATTTTGCTGTTGACTTCAGCGGGGCTGGGGTTTCACCCGGTTCTTTTGTGCACAGACTAAAACTGGCCTTGCCCTTGCAGAGTTAACTGTCTCTAAAACTTCTGCTAGAAGCTGCTATTAAAGAGGGGGCTCAAGGGACTTATTCTTAAAGTTGGAGACTTCATTTGGAAACAAAACCCCACTGAAGGACTGATACCAGTACCTTGGACTCTGAGCCATGTATCTTCCTTGAAAATACATTGTTGTCAGCAAAACTGTTGATTTGTCACTAAAGATTTCTGTAGAATTCATGGTAAATACACATGTCACTTGATGTGGTAGAAACGTGAAATCTGAAAACACTTTTGCTGATGCTCTAAAGCGATTGAGCTTGCCAATGCACATGACTCAAGTTTTAGTCTACTGTATAAAGGGTAGATGAGACTGTCCATTGTACGGTCTTTATTTGAGGTTTTGGGTGTGAATTCTGGCAGTTCAAGAAAACCCTGTAACAGTTTCAAATCAAATAAAATGGAAATATACGTGGATTCTGGAGTCTAATGGATCTTTGCCTTTAGTTCTAGCTTATGAGTGTACAACAGCTGAGGAAACGCAGAGCATTTGGGTCTCTTAAGGGACAGGCCATGGAGTGGGTAGTCAGCCTTATGGTCAGGTGGGCTCTGTTTAAGAGCTGCTAGCAGTGCGTATTAATATGACTTTTATTTATACGTAGAAGTTTAGTTTGCCGTCTGTCAGAGTGTCTTCTTACTCCCACCATATAGGACTGGTTTGAGATTGTGAATTGAGTCTGAGTGAAGCTTTGATTTGCTTTTCACTTGAAAGTAGCTCTGCTAAATTAAAGAATGAAAAAACCAAACAAACCAACCCCAAACAAAAAACCAACCCTCTGGTTGGTTGCTGTCTCCAGAGTCCATCAGCTACTGATAACTAGAGGTGTTATTTGGGGGGGGCTCTTCTCAAGCCTGTCATTCCAGGTTCTTTCTGGAGGCATAAAGGAGGAAAAAAAAAAAATGCAGCAGATTTCCATAGTACAGAACGTTAAACTACTTTAAGGTGTTTCTTGTGTTAAATATCGCTGCCAGCAACTATCAAAACGCCCGTTGTCAGTACCTTCCTTGCGACAATTAATTGTTCTGCATGCCTGAGACTTGGGAAGTCAGTCCTCTGTGGAAGCTCAGTGTGCTTTTGAGACTCTTGAAGTCCAACTTTATCTGGGTTGTTGCTGCATTCCTTCGAGGCATGCTGAGCATGTCTGGTTCATTCCTGCACACTGCTTCTTGAAGGTTCATTCCATGAATGAAGGATCGTCAGATCTGGAAGTGAGATCCTTGATACCAGTCAGTAAAACGCAGTAGTGTGCCGCCTCAGGAACTTCCTAACCTGTAACGTGCTGTTATGGTGCGTTAGTTTCTAATTTCCGATTTAAAGGTTCCATTTTACTTTCTCTGGCTTAAAATAAAAGCACAGCCATAAGGTTACCAGCTTGATAGTAGAACATTTAAATGTCCCGTACTTCCTGGGGAAAGGAACAATTTGGATTTGTGGTTCTTGGTGATACAGTCTGTATTTAAGAAATGTTAAAATGCCAAAAACTAGATCATATTAATAAAGTTGGACTTCCAAATGCTTGCTCTAGGAATCTGGCATCTGTATTTACTTGAGCTGATGATAAATGTAGGAGAGGATTAGTTTTGCCCTTACTCCCCTGGTTTAGCTGTGCCATGTTTAATCCTACTCAGAAATGAAGAGAGGAATTGACAACTAAAAGTGATTGTCTCCTGCTCCTTCGGTTTTGTCTTTGTAGCTAGCTTTACCAGTCATGTCCAAAGTAACTCTCGTACAAAACTTGGGAATGGATGAATTTTTAATGGTACAAATTGTGGTAGAGACCTGGCACCCCAGGGACTAGGGGTTTTTGGTGTTTGACTGTGTCTGTTAACTCTTGGAAACTCTTTCACAGCAACATGGCTGAGACACACGTGCTGTTTAGGTCAAGTAAACACAAGGTACATTTCATAGGGCTGCCATCTTGGAGTTTGCTTATGCAATAGTTGCATCTTTTTGTCTTTCTAATTTCAGCCTGGTTGAGCAGTTTTAAATTTGCTTGTGGTTTTCTGTCAAATACCATAACTAAAACGGAGCAGATGATTCTTTTTTAGACTAATACAGCTTTGTGTGCTTAAAAGGTGCTTATTTACAAGGGAGTAATGTTATTCTTTCTAATACTGACATGGTCAGAGAAACGAATACCTTGTATTTTACATGACCAGTTTGTATCAGAGGCCCAAGAAACTTAAATTTTACCAAAAACACCTCAAGTACTTAAAAATCTTTATGAATAGCCACAATCCAGGTTTCGTCACCTGATTTAGTTCCTAAATTGTCCCCCTCTGTTTCCAGCTTTTAATTTCACAGATCGATTTTAATGGTAAATAGGGGCTTTATTTGGGAATATAAGAAAATAATAACATGCGTATTTAAATTTCAGAGACATAAATTAGGTACGTACAAAGGGGGAGGAAATCTGACATTTGCCGATAAATCCTTCAGAAGAAGTTAAGAAGTCAGCTTGTCTGTGTTGCGGTTAATATGAGCACCTGCAAGCTCTAGCAGATGGAAGAAATGACAGCAGAAAACAGAACTGAGGAATCTGATACTGATTTGGATAAGTCATACCTGTCACTTACCTAGAGTTTGGCTTCTGAAGCACCAAGTCTAGTTCCACCATGTTTTGTCTGAAGTGAAATAGAACAGGAAGGAAAGGGCGGGTTTTGTTTGGGTTTTTTTTGTTTGCTTTTTTAAGGGAGACTGAAAATGATGCAAATAAAACACAGGAGGTGTAAGAAGAGGGCAATTAGGAAGGCCATTTCCTAAGTGATAGTATTAAATGTATACCCTGAGGTCAGGAGCGGACTGTAAGTGCTTGGATAGGAGAAGTGCTGTGTGGACAAGCGCTGCTTTCACGAGTGACTGATCCATCTGACTTGAAATCGGCAAAAATGTTTGAAGTTCAGTACTTGGGGAAGGCATCCCATTGTAATTTTTCTTTTCCTTTTAAAGAAAAGAATTGGGAAGACCTGTGAGATAGAGGGTAGAATTTTGCGTTGGTACAAAGCTGTCTAACCAACTGCCTAAAGAGAGAACCGAGAAAGAACAAATTCCGAGATAGTTCATCAATCCGACTAGGAAGTAACTCGTTTCTTATTTAAGAAAACTCTTTCTCACTTCTGCATGATAAAAAGCTGAGGCACTGATTCAAATCGCTATGAAGACATTTCCCTTTTTTTGTGAAGCATCTTCTAATGGTACGTATATCGTGGTTTTATGTTTGGTTGCTTAGAATACGTGTTGATACAGCAAGGTTAATGGAGTTCAATGGGCTGTTTAGCCAGAATACAAGTATTAAAAATATATCACAGTATTAATGAATCACCAGAGAACGTAGTGCGTCTGGAATGCTGGAATGGAAAGTATCGTCTAAAACAACTGCATGTGCTGAAAAGAAACAAGCCCAGTTTGTAGCAAGAGCCTGGGACCAAGAGAGTGCACTTTGGCCGTGGTTTTCCACTGAGCTGCTGTGTTAACTTCAAGTAATTTAGTTTCGCTTTGCCTCAGTTTCCCTAGCTGTAGCAAAAGAACCTGACGACCTACCTCACAGGGGTGTTGTGAGGCCAGAGCTGTTCTTTGTCAAGGGCTGGGGCTGATGGAAGGTGCTACGGAGGACTACAAAAAAAATCTTCATTAGAAGAGCTTTATAGTAGCTTTCGTTACAGTATTTTAATACTACTTTGGGAACGGCTTGTTTCTACAGAATGTAACATACGTTCTATTTAAGTATTATGTAATTAGACTTACTTTAGTATGTATGGGTAAGGAAGAAGTTCAGGCTGAGCACTCTTAACTGGTATTTTGTCTCTTTAATTATCTGTGCATCCCAACTGGTATATTAATATGAGGCTTTTTGTTTTTACGTGGAATACATTAAAATCAATATTGCTATATTTTGTAAACCCCATGACTGAAATAAAATCCTGCTCACAGGAAATGTTCACTCCTGAAAGTACACATTTGTGTCAGGATGTAAGTGGTATTTTGTAGTAGGAATGTAGGTTTCTTCCCCTCCCCACATGTAAACAGACATTTGACCTGCTCTTTATCCTTTCCCATATTTGGGTTGAAGTAGCGTGCAGGTACAAGGGAAGTATGGGAGAGAGAGTTTAAAATCTGGTATTAAGGCAGGTTGTGGAGGAAGAAGATGAAGGGAATAAACCAAAGGGAAATAGTTGCCCATGGAGAGGTTTCTGTGAAACAGAT